CAACTTTTCCAGGTGCACAGTGCAAGCTGTCAGTGGATCTACCATTCTAGGGTCTGTAGGATGGTGACCCTTTTCTCACAGCTCCATCAGGTGGTGCCCCAGCAGGGACTCTGTGTGGGGGCTCTGACTCCAGAGCACTGCCCTAGCAGAAGTTCACCATGAGAGCACGGGCCTAGTGGTAAACTTCTGCCTGGACATCCAGGCGTTTCTATACATCCTCTGAAATCTGAAATCTAGGTGGAGGTTCCCAAACCTCAATTTTTTTTTTTTTTTTTTTTTTTTTGAGAGAAGTGATGTTTGTGAGAGCAGTTTAAGAACCTGAAAAGCTATACCAAAATGTAATTTTTTTTTTTTTTTTTTTTTTGAGACAGAGTTCTGCTGTCGCCCAGGCCCAGGCTGGAGTGCAGTGGCACGATCTCAGCTCACTGCAACCTCCACCTCCCAAGTTCAAGTGATTCTTCTGCCTCAGCCTCCTGAGTAGCTGGGATTACAGGCACATACCACCACACCTGGTGTGTGGTGTGTATTTTTGCATCTTTAGTAGAGATGGTGTTTCACCACCTTGGTCAGGCTGGTCTCAAACTCCTGACCTTGTGATCTGCCTGTCTCAGCCTCCCAGAGTGCTGGGATTAAAGGCGTGAACCACCATGCCTGGCCCCATGCCTCAATTCTTAACTACTGTGCACCCGTAGGCTCAACACCACATAGAAGCTGCCAAAGGCTTAGGACTTGCACCCTGTGCAGCCACAGCCTGAGCTGTACCCTTGGCCCCTTTTAGTCACAGCAGGAGTGATTGGGATGCAGGGCACCAAGTCCCTAGACTGCACACAGAATGGAGACCCTGGGCCCAGCCCATGAAACCATTTTTTCCTCCTAGGCCTCCACCTCTGGGCCTGTGATGAGAAGGGCTGACACAAAGGTGTCTGACATGCCTTGGAGACATTTTCCCCATTGTCTTGGTGATTAACATTTGGCTCCTTGTTACTTATGCAAATTTCTGCAGCTGGCTTGAATTTCTTCTCAGAAAATGGGTTTTCAATTTTTACTACATCACCAGACTGCAAATTTTCTGAACTTTTATGTTGTTTCCCTTTTAAAACGATGCTTTTAACAGCACCCAAGTCATTTCTTGAATGCTTGGCTTAGAAATTTCTTTGACCAGATACCCTAAATCATCTCTCTCAAATCCAAAGTTCCACAAGTCTCCAGGGCAGGGACAAAATGCCACCACTCTCTGCTACAACATAACAAGAGTCACCTTTGCTCCAGTTCCCAACAAGTTCCTCATCTCTATCTGATACCACCTCAGCCTGGACCTTATTGTTCATATTACTAGCAGCATTTTTGTCAAAGATATTCAACAAGTCTCTAGAAAGTTCCAAATATTCTTACATTTTTCTGTCTTCTCCTGAGCACTCCAAATTGTTACAACCTCTGCATGTTACCCAGTCCCAAAGTCATTTCCACATTTTCAGGTATCTTTCAGCAACGCCCCACTCTACTGGTACGAAGTTACCATATTGGTCCGTTTTCATGCTGCTGATAAAGACATACTCAAGAGTGGGGAGAAAAGGGGGGTTTAATGGACTTACAGCTTCACATGGCTGGGGACGCCTCACAATCATGGCAGAAGGCATAGAGGAGCAAGTCATATCTTACATGGATGGTAGCAGGCAAAGAGACAGCTTGTGCAGGGAAACCCATTTTTAAAATCATCAGATCTTGAGAGACTTATTCACTATCATGAGAATAACACAGGAAAGACCCACTCCCATGATTCAATTGTCACCCCCGGGCACCGTGCACATCATGTGGGAATTATGAGAGCTACAAAATGAGATTTGGGTGGGGACAGAGCCAAAACATATCAATCACCATTGGTGAAGGCAAATACTTTTGATCACTTTTAACCACTCAACACTATGAAGACATGGATTGTTTTCCTATAATTTGTGATTTTTATTCATTATTGGTTTTTGATGCTCAAATCTACACAAATATTACTGAGATTCCTGTAAAACTACTTTTTTCTTTTAAACCTGACCTCCTAAGTCTTTAAAGAAATTCTTACATTCTGGCACAATATGATGTTCAAAGTTCAGAATCTTAACCTATCCCAAGTCTGGAACTGGCCATATGCAATTCTAGTGGTCAAAGGTTGTTAGAAACTGACTCTGGTTCATAGAGTTGCTTATGCTCAGAAATAACATTTCTGTGTATACTATAAAATGTATTTTTATTAAAAATACAAATATAAAATGTATTTTTATTTTATAAAATGTATTTTTATTAAAAAGATTATTTGACAATAATAGTCTCAGTTTAAATTTAGTGTTATACTTTATTCAGCTTATTTTAATCTGTATATTAACATATGTTTTGAATTATCTGATGCTTTTCCATCTTGCTCATCTGCAAATGGAATGTCATCCTTACCTCAAGCAGAGCAAACTGCTGGATTTCTGCAAGTCAAAAGACATTGTCCTGGTTGCCCATAGTGCTCTGGGAACCCAACGGCATAAACTATGGTAATAAAAGCAACAGGAAGTTTACCTAAAATGCCGTTTTGATGAAAAAGTTTAATTATAGCCTACTCAGTCTCCTGGAGTTCACTCTCAGTGAATCAGTGTACGGGGAGAATTTGCATTTCTGATGAGATCCCAGGTGATGCTATTGTTCAGGGGCCTCACTTGAGAGGCTCTGGTGCAGAATGAACACCTTAGTCTGTTTAGGGAGCCTCCTACCAAACTGAATCCAGCCTCAAGACTTCAGCATTTCTGGCTTTCCTTCCAGGGTGGACCAGAACTCCCCAGTTCTTTTGGAGGACCCAGTTCTTTGCGCCTTAGCAAAGAAACACAAACGATCCCCAGCCCTGATTGCCCTGCGCTACCAGCTGCAGCGTGGGGTTGTGGTCCTGGCCAAGAGCTACAATGAGCAGCGGATCAGAGAAAATGTCCAGGTGAGGAGTTGAGTGGGCGTCAGGGCTCCTGCATGGTGTCCTTCACATGTGTGCTTCTTGTAAGCTTCTCAGGACACCCTTGCACTAAGTCCATCTCCTGGGCATTTCCTGTGCACAAATGCTTTGTGTGCATCATAAGAGTTTTCTATTCTACTCTAGGAGGGGCAGCATGGGTGGAGAGAATCAGGATGGGACCAAAACCAGAAATTTTGGCATAAAGTTGGCAACTTACTCTGTATCCCTCTGCTAGGGACATCACCTTTTCTTCATTTTCTGAAATGAATTGGGTTAGGTGTTCTCTAATCTTCAAATCATTGCAGATTTTTTCTTCATGTCCTTGTTTATTCAGTATAAATTTCATGTATTTATTCTCTTAGAATTATTTTTTGAGTGCCTGTTGAAGTCTTTGGGTATTTTTATTAGGTTGCATGCCTTTTTCTATGTGTAGAAAAACATAATACTAAGTAAAATTATAAAAAAGAAAACCTCAGACATAGAGGTTTAATAGAAAACCATTTATTTAACTGACAATTTCATGGTTTGTAATTTAGCCTAAGCTCCACCTGAACTCAGTCTAGTCCTTCTGTTCCTGGCTGGGCTGTCTCACGTGTGTGCAGGGCAATGAGGCAGCTCTGCAGAATTAATCCAGAATTTGTATTCTGGATATTCTTTAGAGCTTCAGATGTATTGTTGAAATAGCCTCTCCCAAAATGTACACGTGTTGTGATTCTCTTTGTGGTGGTTTTAACAAAAGTTTCTACTCTTAATGTAGTCAAATTCTTTATGACATTGTCTTGTAGTTGCTAATATCGTGACTTTTCCTATATTGGAAACATGACAATACATTACTATATTATGTAGTAAAATATTATATAGTAATACAGAGTAATATACTATATTCTATTAATATCTTATAAAAGTATTAATGTACTTTTATAAATTGGGATAATTTTATTTTTAATATGTGAAATAAGGGTGCAAATGTACATACAATTTTCACTTGATACTAAAATGTCCCACTAAGAATGATTGAAAAGTCCATATTTGCTCACCTATCTTGATTTTTCATCCTGTCATAAAGTGTCCATAAGTACTTCTGACATTTCTCTTCTTTCAGAGTTAACTTTCCTGTACTGTCTAAATTATGTTACATAGCATTCTTAAGGCATTTGTGTATGTTTTCCTAGATTTATTCATAGAAAACTTTTAATAGTCTTTGGATAACTTGAGTATTTTCTAGACTTACCTAGATAGACTTTTATTCTCTTTTCCTCTTATTCTCTGTATTCGAGTATTCCAATAAAATTTAGTAATTTAGTATTATGCTAGCAATTAGTGACATCTTTTGATATTTAAATTCTTTCCAATTTGAATACTGAGATCCTCTTCAAGCAACTACTTGTTTTCTTTGAGCATGATGTTATTAGGGTTTGTACAATTACTGTCTTGAATCTTGTTGAAAACAATTTTCACATTATACCTGTTCATTGAAGATGGAAATCAGATGAATATATTTGGATTTCAGTATTTCTATATCTGATGTGAAACTGTACAACTGTACAACTCTACAGAGGATCTCAACAGATACTAGAGATGAAATAAAGTTAACCTTGTGTTTACATGACTGGTTCATGTACTTATAAGATTAAGAATCTAGAGAACAATTTTGAAACTTATGATTTAGATATTTTGAGGATGATACAGTTTGGATATTTGTCTCCTAATCTCATTTTAAAATGCAAAAAAGGTTAGTTCGTGTCCTTTGTAGGGACATGAATGCAGCTGGAAACCATCATTCTCAGCAAACTATCACAAGAACAGAAAACGAACCACCACATGTTCTCACTCATAGGTGTGAATTGAACAATGAGATCACTTGGACACAGGAAGGGGAACACATCACACACCAGGGCCTATTGTGGGGAGGGGGGAAGAGGAAGGGATAGCATTAGGAGATATACCTAATGTGAATGACGAGTTAATGGGTACAGCATACCAACATGGCACATGTATACATATGTAACAAAACTTCACATTGTGCACATGTACCCTAAAAATTAGAAAAAAATGTTATCCCCAATGATGGAAGTGGGGTCTGGTGGGAGGTGTTTTTGTCATGGGGACAATTATAGAAATATAGAAATCCAACAAGATCCATCTGTATTAGTCCGTTTTGTGCTGCTATAAAAAAAAATACTTGATGCTGGGCAATTTATACAGAAAAGAGCTATATTTGGCTCACAATTTACAGGCTGTACAAAAAGCATAGCACCAGATTCTGGAGAGGCTTCAGGAAGCTTTAAATTCCAACATTAGGTCATTCCTTTGCTCCCATACCTGATCATAGGCCGTTAAAAGCAGTCACACTATCTCTTGAATGTCTTCCTGCTTAGAAATTTCTTCCACCAGATACCCTTAAAATCATCACTAAGTTCAGACTTCCACAAAGTCCTGGAATGGACACAATGCAGCCAAGTTCTTTCCTAAGGTATAACAAGGGTGATCTTTGTTCCAGTTTTTAGTTTCTGATTTTGGTCTTAGATCTCATTAGCCTAGACTTCATTGCCCATATTTTTATCAGCATTTTGGTCAGAATCATTTAACCAATGCAGAGCAAGTTCCAAACTATCCTTTATCTTCCCATTTTCTTCTGAACCCTCCCGACGCTTCCAAACTGTGCTAGTTACCCAGTTCTAAAGCCACTACCACATTTTCAGACATTTTTAGCAATGTCCCACTCCTGGTAACAATTTTCCATATTAGTCCATTGCGCACTGCTATAAAGAAATACCTGAGGCCAGATAAAATATGCCAGAAGGTGGTTTATTTGGCTTACCATTTAGCAGAGTGTACAAAAATCATGGCACCATTTTGGTTTTGGTGAGGCCTCAGGAAGCATTTACTCATGGTAGAAGGTGACAGAGGAGGAAGCATATCAAATAGCAAGAGATGAAGAGGGAAAAAAAAGAAAATGTCAGGCTCCTTTTTAAACCAGATTTCATGTGACCTAATGCAGTGAAAACTCATTACCATTGGGAGGGCACCCAGCCATTCATGAAGGATGCCCCCATGGCACAAACACCTCCCACCAGGCCCACTTCCATCATTGCTGAATCACATTTTTAACATGAGATTAGGAGGGGACAGATATCCAAATTGTAGCACCACCAAACTGTCTAAAATTTCTAAAAAAGTTTCAAAATTTTCCCTCTAGATTCTTCTAAATTTTCTAAATACATGACCAATCATGCACACACCGGGTCAACTTCATTCCATCTCCAGTTTCTGTTGAGATCTTCTTTGTCTGAATTTTTGTGCAGTTTCAATATATAATATCTAGGAATGGATTTATATTTTACCTGATATTCTTTAATCACTTGAGAGTTTAGAGATGATCTTTCATAACTTTTGGAAACTCATCAGATATTTTACATATTGCCTCTACACCCTGCTCTGATATACTTGGCTATTCCAAGTTGACAATTATGCAATCTAACAATGAAAATTTTCTACTTCTTTGGTAGGTTTTTGAATTCCAGTTGACTTCAGAGGATATGAAAGTTCTAGATGGCCTAAACAGAAATTTTCGATATGCTGTCATGGATTTGTAAGTAACTTTGGAAAATGGGTTGCCAAGTTTATTTTTAGAGGAGGAATGTCAGATGGGTGCTAAAAGTGACCTCAATACCAGGGAGACAGAGGCCAATGTGAGTCAGAGGTGAGACAGGAACTCTGGAACTCTCCTTCTGGATTCACTCCAGAGCTCTGTTCTCTGACAGGGTGAGTGGGCCCAGGGTCAGCATGGGTCAACCTGTGCCTCTGCTCTCCTGACTCCCTGAAAATTTCCAGAGCAGCCAATATTATTGCTGAATCGGCACCTTTCATGTTGGCCTGGCATTTCTGCTATGGCCTAGTGGACAAATTGGATATGGCGCATATGGCTTGATTACACGTTTTTCCAAATCTGTATTTATAGCTTTTTCTTCCAAATCTGCTCAGTTCCTTATCAGATAAACATTTCCAACAACATTGGTGTCCATGCCAGAAATTCATCTCTTCCGTGTGGAATTGCTCACTAGATCATGTCAGTTCAGTATCTTTACCCTTTTCAAATTTCTTTCCTCCTCCTCTTTAGACATTTGCTCATGACCCAAGCACTGCATTTTGCCTCCAGAAAGTTTGCCCTTAGTGGGCATTAGAACTCTTGGCTCTGATTTTTTTTTCCAATATGGAAATCTAAATGCAGACTATAAAGAAGTTTTAGAGAAGAGAGATTAAAAGTCAAGGGAAGAGCCAGGCTCAGTGGCTCATGCCTGTAATCCCAACACTCTGGGAGGCAAAGGCAGGTGGATCACTTGAGGTCAGAAGTTTCAGACCAGCATGGCCAAAATGGAGAAACCCTATCTCTACTAAAAATACAAAAATTAGCCATACGTGGTGGCATACACCTGTAAATCCAGCTACTCAGGAGGCTGAGGCAGGAGAATCCCTTGAACCTGGGAGGCAGAGGTTGCAGTGAGCCAAAACTGTGCCACTGCACTCCAGCCTGGGCAACAGAGCAAGATTCCATCTTTGGGGATGATATATAGCTGACAAAAGATCTTACTCTTTCTATATGCTCCAAGATTCTAGGATTCACAGAAAGGCACTCACGTGATGAGGGAAAAACAAGCTATGTCACTGCTTGCAGTGGAGATGTTAACAGGTAATAGACTTGAGATAATGTATTAAAAAGGATAAACACAGCAGCACATCGTAAGAACTCAAACATTTTTAAATATCATTGTTTACAGAGTGGCAAACATCAGTAATTCTCACCAATTATTCAATATTAATCATTTATTCATTCTATTTTGTGTTATTTCCACCTAAAGATTGCCCTTAGCATATTGTAGAGTTTTGGATATGGAATCCCATATCACATAGGACAGTTTACATGTCTGAATCAAAGAAAATATTTTCCATATGGTAAGCAGCTAGTCAGTAATGAATACTTTAAAGGATGTGTGATTGCTACCAAGAACATTTAACCTTCAAAACTTAGTGATGAACATGTAGCTGGCTTGTTTCTATTCAAAAGAGTGCAGGATGAGTTGCTGCTTTCATTGAGAATTTGAAATAGAAAAGGTCAGAATATCTCTTTGCTCTGTTGACAGATATGAAAGACTATGTTTGAACAACTGACCCTGTGTAGTTTGTGTGATAAATTCCAGGCAAGGGAATATAAGTTGAAAATGCTCTTAATTTGGGGGAAAAAAACACACATTATAAAGTCATGTTCATGAAAGACAGATTCTACAAATTGAAAATAAACTTAACATTCACACTAATGGCAGCGTCCTAGAAATCACTTTGCTACCAGCTTTTTAATAGTCATTTCATCCATATTATGTACGATCATTTCTCTTTTCAGTCTTGTGGACCACCCTGATTATCCATTTTCAGATGAATATTAGCATGGAGGGTGTTGCACGACATCTAGCAGAAGCCCTGCGTGTGGATGGTGCTGCAGAGGATGTCTGTATGCTGGTGGACACACGGCCTCTGGTGAAATCCCTCCTGCTTGGCAACTTCAGTTAACTACATACATCCATAGTCCAGAAAGCAAAGAAAATAAATTTTATCTTGAAGTAATTGAATGTTTTCCTTAAAGGTTCTTTTCCTACTCCTTTCTACATACGCGTGTGTTTCTTTTCCTTCTACTTCATTAGGGCCAAAAATTGATTTGCCTATAAGTTTGGGGCAGAGTAGATAAATATTTTATAGACATTTTTGAGGTGAGAGTGGGTGGAGTTTGCAGCCTCTAGGGGAGGAGCAAGTGACCAATATTTATCAGTCAGTCTGTCTTTAGCTCTTTCAGAAAGAAGAAAACACACAGCATAGAACCTGAACACAAGCCATATTGACAGGATGACCAACAATCTATGGCCTCCCTCCAGCACCGCAAATTGGAGCTCCAGCAACCTAGGGATGCAGCGTCCCTGTGGGGTAATGGTTAGGGAGGTGGGAGGGCACCCATCCAGGATAAATAATGAGAAGTCAGATATGGGAGAGGTTAGAAGAAGAGAGTTGAGCATGATTCTGCTTGGGAAATACAAACACATGCTCTTTTATCAATTACGTCTTGTGCATAAAAGGAAACTTCCCACATTGTTTCAAGGCTGAGAGCCAGGCCTTGACCTCCTGTGTGCCCAGTATCAGCAGTGGCCTTGCTGCACTGTGGTGGAGCAGGACACCAAAGACACCATTGACTGGTCACATTCTCCTGAATATCAGCTCCATATAGAGCAAATATTAGGACCTAAAAATATACTATTAATTTGTTCTACTCAGTCTTTTGAAATATTTCGTACATTTAAAAAGGCACACTAATATAAAATATCCAAAAGCCATTACATGTTATTGTCAAATTAATTTCAAAATTACAAAAACATCTAATTATCCAAAATTTCAAAAATCTTTTGAAAACAGTGTATGTAACATAGCATGATGCTTTCAAACTTTGGTAACTTTCAGGAATAATTCTTACAAAGACACCTGATTGTTCCTATACTTTGTAGGGGTACAAATTTAATCAGTTAGTCAAGAACATAACATTTTATTCCAGACAACTTTTTGAAAAGTTGGGACAATATCATGGGCTACTGGCCAAAGCACTTGGAGACTGACAGATGTTTATGACCTGTGCACATTTCCCAATGTGTTTACCCTCCACCGACTTAACCCCATTAGAGGGGTTTCCTTAAGCCACGTATTTCAGCTGAGAAATATCCTGCCAAGTTTCATAGTTTACAATATTTCCTAAAATAATTTATTTCTTAAAATTGGAAGAGGCCATAATATCTGGACTGTTTTCTGTCTTCACTCATTTTCTTGATGTCAAATATTCTCATGGCTTTAAATACAACCTCTAGGCCAAGCAACCGTAAATCAGTATCTACAACTCAGCTTTTTCTCCAAAACTCCAGAATGAATCATACTGACTGCATCTCTACCTTAGTGCCTAATGGACATTCACACTTAGCATGCCTCAAAGCTCATTTCAGTTGCTGCCTTCCTGTTCCACCTCAATGTTCCTAGACTAAGTAATGATTTCACATCTTATAAATTGATTGACATAATCAAAAATTAAGCTCATTAGTCAAGTATGTAATGCCAAAGAATTTCAGATTTTCTTAGCATGCATGACATTTTTTTCCCTAAGATGTGAAGTAACAATTAGAACAGTCATTTATAAATAGTAAATCTGCTACAGGCTTACTCCACTTGTTTATCCTTCATTTTTACAAAAACTTTATTTAAAAAAGGCCACGCGCTGTGGCTCACACATGTAATCCCAGCACTTTGGGAGGCTGAGGCGGGTGGATCACGAGGTCAGGAGATCGAGACCATCCTGGCTAACACGGTGAAACCCCATCTCTACTAAAAATACAAAAAATTAGCCAGGTGTGGCTGCGGGCACCTATAGTCCCAGCTACTCAGGAGGCTGAGGCAGGAGAATGGCATGACCCCGGGAGGCGGAGCTTATAGTGAGCTGAGATCGTGCCACTGCACTCCAGCCTGGGCAACAGAGCAAGACTCCATCTCAAAATTAATTAATTAAATAAAAATAAAAGTTACTTAGAATGTTTTAAAGCTTAAATTGGTAACACATGGGATGTAACAAAATTCTATAACCTCCAATTCCTCATTTCACTATTTTTTTCTATAAGAAATGCTAAAGTGAGGCTGGGAGCAGTGGTTCACGCCCATAATCCCAGCAATTTGGGAGGCCGTGGTGGGCAGATCACTTGAGGTCAGGAGTTTAAAACCACCATAGCCAACGTGGTGAAATCTCATCTCCACTAAACATGTAAAATTAGCCAGCTGTTGTGGCATGCACCTGTAATCTCAGCTATTCAGGAGGCTGAGGGAAGAGAATCGCTTGAACCCGGGAGGCGGAGGTTGCCGTGAGCCAAGATTGCACCACTGCACTCCAGCCTGGGCAACAGAGTGAGACTCCGTCTCAAAGAAAAAAAAAAAAGAAAAAGAAATGCTAAAGTCAGTACTTCAAGTTTAAATAAAAGTAGACAGTAACTCAAACCCATGAAGAGGTATAAAGACTGCTAGTCTCTATATATAGGACAAAATATGAAAAAAATATTTTTGAAATTCACATTTGTACTCCAATTATCTCCAGATTTAAAATATAAATGTATGCAAATAACACTAAATATGTACATAATGTATAATTTTACTGACAAAAGTAAGGCGAGGTAGAGAAACCCTGTGGAAAAGGAAAGTTTTTAATGAAATATTGGTAGGTTAGTATTGATTCAAAGTAAATTGTTATAACTTTATAAAATTGTATGTCATCCTCACAGCAACCACAAATATAGAATACACTTAAGAGGAAATGATATGGGAATCCCAATGTCACTTATAAAAATCATACAAACACACCAAAAAAAGTAACTGTGGATATGAAAGACAAAGCCACAGACAGAAAGGAAAAACTGAAAATGGCAAAAGTCACATTTTCCCTGTCACTAATTCAATCATGCATCACATCACACCTGGGCTGTCTTCTGAAAGAGGCTTTATTAGGCAATTACATCTCTCTTTGTACAAACATGAGGGAGTATAATTACATGAACCTGGATGGCATAGCTTACTATACATTAAAGGTATGATATAGAATATGGGGCCAGACACGGTGGTTCACGCCTGTAATCCCAGCACTTTGGGAGGCCGAGGCAAGCAGATCACTTGAGGTCAGGAGTTTGAGACCAGCCTGGCCAACATGGTGAAACCCTGTCTCTACTAAAAATACAAGAATTAGCCAGGCATGGTGATACATGCCTATAATCCCAGCTACTTGAGAGGCCGAGGCAGGAGAATTGCTTGAACCAGGGAGGTTGCAGTAAGCCAACATGACACCACTGCACTCCAGCCTGGGCAACAGAGCAAGACTCTGACTCAAAAAAGAAATTTGTAAAATAAAAATATGGGTCCCAGGCTAGAGACCTGTACAGCACAGTTCTGCACTGAATACCATGGGCAAGTATAGCACAATGGATAGTTTTACATATCCAAATGTATTTACATGTCCAATTTACATATCCAAATATATTTTAATATGGAAATGATACAATAAAATAAGCCATTAAGTTATGAAACTGCTGTTGTATATGTGGTCTGTCATTAACTAAAATATTGTTATGTGTGCTGAGTGGGAAGGTGGGGCTGAGTGGGAAGGTGGGGCTGAGTGGGAAGGTGGAGCTGAGGTGGGTCCAGGTGAGGGCCGTGGGGCTGAGGGGGGAGGTGGGGCTGAGGCAGGTCCAGGTAAGGGCCATGGGGCTGAGGCGGGTCCAGGTGAGGGAGGTGGGGCTGAGGCGGGTCCAGGTGAGGG